TTAAGGTAATTCACATTGTTTTCATTATTGTTTTTCTTTTATTAAATCATCACACTAACTCGGTGACAATGACTTAGAGGAAAGAAATAGGAGAAAGGCCTGGATGTGCTGCTGGACACACTAGCTACTTTTACTGGTCTGAGGTTTAAGTAGGAACCCAAAATTAAACATTGTTCCTAGGAATGCAGTGATGAAATTCAAACATACTTTTCCCATCCCATATGGTGGGAAATTGTCCAATCCTGATCCAATGTGAATATTCTACTAGGACATTTTATATCAGATGAGTTCTGAAATATTGATGTATAAACATTCTGAGCATATTTAGTGAAATAAAATCTCAAATTATTACCACACGTAAAATTATTCCTGCATTTAAAATAGTCTTCTCAAGCGAGTATGATTTATCTTTCTACATTAAAAATTCTTTTTTTTTTGTTATTTAACTCACACTACAATATCTTGCAGTCTATAGAAAATTATAAATCCTCTTTTTGAATACACAAGCTAAGAGTCACACCAGAAACAAACTGTTCCTTACTGAGCTCTTTATTTTTTTTTTTTTTTTTTTTTTTTAATGAAATAAGTACGGTTTATTAGAATGCAATCACAATAACTAGAACAGAGTAAAGAGACTTGAGAGTGCTGGGGCTGAAGAGTAAGGCAAAATTTAAAAGAGATTGGTCAGGGATACTTGAGCAGAGGTGGTGAGGAGGCCATCTGACTTGCAGATATTTGAAGTTAAGAGTGTTCCAGACAGAGGGAACAGCCGCTGCAAAGTCCCTGTTAAGGGTGGAGCATGCCTAAGGTATTTGAGGAAAGTAGGACGCCAACATGGCAGAATCTGAATGAGCAAAGGGCATAGACAAGGGAGAATTGTACATAAGCCTGTGCTTACTGAGCTCTTTAAAGACATAGAAAGCTTTGGAAAGAAATACATGTCTCTGGAGAAATCTCCTGACAAAGCAGTTAGGAAAAGGTCACACTACTTTTCATGCAGCATTTGTCTTGTTTAATAAGAGCTATATTCCAAAATTTGTTTTAATTACTGATAATTGGAAACATTAAATTTAAAGAGGAAACCAAGACTTCCTTAATACTAGGTTAAGCACACTGGTATAAATTTTTTTTATCAAAATGGCATCCCTCTGATACTGGCATGGGGATTCATTCTCAAAACTTTTTAACTTTTCCTAAAAATCAAGGGTAGAGTGTTTTGCAGTTCCTATTTTATTATAACTCGAGACCAGTTTTTAACAATTATTACTTTAAGAATCATGGCTTATGTCTGAAGGCTGAAATAAGAACAGATCATAAGCACAGCAGAACAGGAAATTAAATGGATATATGGAGAGTATAAGAAGTATAGAGTTTACCATAAAATCAGTGGCATATTTATTAAAATACTTTACCACATTTCTTTCAAGAAAAAATATATAAATTTTAAGTTGCATGAAAAAGAGAAAGGAAAAGCCTTCATGTGCTTTTCATTGAACTTTCTTGAAAGAGTTCATTTAAATACAATCGCATGCAGATGAAAGACAGAGGTTGTGCCAGTGACATTCTTATTCCTGCTGAAAACTTATTTTGAGTAATATTCAATCAATTTAAAGCAACTTCAAACTATCAAACTGATACAATGACAAACTCAAAAATGAAAAGTGCTGGTCACTCAGTCCTGTCTGTTTGCAACCCCATGGACCATAGGCCGCCAGGCTCCTCTGTGCATGGGATTCTCCAGGCAAGACTATTGGAGTGGATTACTATTCCCTTTTCCAGGGTACCTTCCTGACCCAGGGATTGAACGTGGGTCTCCTGCATTAAAGGCAGATTCTTTTCCTTCTGGCCAACTCACATATACAGCTGGATAAAAATTTCAGCAATGTTATTTGTTGATTGCTTACTAAAGGCAGATCCCTTAATGTCTTTTAATTCATAGATCTTCATCTCTAAAACTGGGAAAATCTTGTCTACTTTGGAGGGCTATTGTGATGTGTCAGTGAGGTGCTAGGCTGTATCAGGACATCTTCTCAATAAATACTGTCTTATCCTACCACTAGAGATTTTGGAAATGTTTATTCATTGGGTCAAGGAGTTCAGTGTATTTTATGACTCAGTGACTTTGTTATACTCTGAATGAGCCTAATGCAAACTATTGAATAATATGACATCTTCAACATGTTAGACATGGATGTGGACTCAGAGTGAGGTGTAAGGGCAGACGTGGGCTCAGGGGGAAGTGTAAGAGCAGACGTGGGCTCAGGCTTGGGTGCAAGGGCATACTTGGGCTCGGGGGAGGTGTAAGGGCAGACGTGGGCTCATGGGGATATGTAAGGGCAGACGTGCATGTAGGGGAAGCTGTAATGGCAGGGGTGGGCTCAGGGGGAGGTGTAAGGGAAGACGTAGTTAAAGGCTGGCGTGTAAGGGCAGACGTGGGCTGAGGGGGAGGTGTAAGGGCAGACGTGGGCTGAGGGGGAGGTGTAATGGCAGATGTGGGCTCAGGGACAGGTGTAAGGGCAGATGTGGGCTGAGGGTAGGGTGTAAGAGCAGACGTGGGTTCAGGGTGGTGTGTAAGGGCAAACGTGGGCTCAGGGGGAGATGTAGAGCAGATGTGGGCTCACGGGGAGTTGTAAGGGCAGACGTGGCCTCAGAGGCATGTGCAAGAGCAGACATGGGCTCAGGCTGGGGCGTAAGGGCAGATGTAGGCTCAGGGGGAGGTGTAAGGGTGGACGAGGGCTCAGGGTGGGGTGTAAGGGCAGACGTGGGTTCAGGGTCGGGTGTAAGGGCAGACGTGAGCTCAGGGGGATGTGTAAGGGCAGAGGTGGGCTCTGGGGGATGTTTAAGGGCAGACGTGGGCTCAGGGGTATGTGTAAGGGCAGAGGTGGGCTCTGGGGCAGGTGTAAGGGCAGACGTGGGCTCACAGTGGGGTGTAAGAACAGACGTGGGCTCATGGTGGGGTTTAAAGGCAAACGTGGGCTAAGGGGGAGGTGTAAGGCCAGATGTGGGCTCAGGGGGAAGTGTAAGAGCAGATGTGGGCTCACGGGGATGTGTAAAAGCAGGAGTGCGCTCAGGGGGAGGTGTAAGGTCAGATGTGGGTTCAGGGGGAGGTGTAAGGGCAGACGTGGGCTCAGGCTGGGGTGTAAGACCAGATGTGGGCTCAGGGGGAAGTGTAAGAGCAGACGTGGGCTCAGGCTTGGTTGCAAGGGCATACTTAGGCTCAGGGGGAGGTGTAAGGGCAGACGTGGGCTCATGGGGATATGTAAGGGCAGACGTGTGCATAGGGGAAGCTGTAATGGCAGGGGTGGGCTCAGGGGGAGGTGTAAGGGAAGACGTAGTTAAAGGCTGGCGTGTAAGGGCAGACGTGGGCTGAGGGGGAGGTGTAAGGGCAGACGTGGGCTGAGGGGGAGGTGTAAGGGCAGATGTGGGCTCAGGGGGAGGTGTAAGTGTAGACGTAGTTAAAGGCTGGGGTGTAAGTACAGACATGGGCTGAAGGGGAGCTGTAATGGCAGATGTGGGCTCAGGGACAGGTGTAAGGGCAGATGTGGGCTGAGGGTAGGGTGTAAGAGCAGACGTGGGTTCAGGGTGGTGTGTAAGGGCAAACGTGGGCTCAGGGGGAGATGTAGAGCAGATGTGGGCTCACGGGGAGTTGTAAGGGCAGACGTGGCCTCAGAGGCATGTGCAAGAGCAGACATGGGCTCAGGCTGGGGCGTAAGGGCAGATGTAGGCTCAGGGGGAGGTGTAAGGGTGGACGAGGGCTCAGGGTGGGGTGTAAGGGCAGACGTGGGTTCAGGGTCGGGTGTAAGGGCAGACGTGAGCTCAGGGGGATGTGTAAGGGCAGAGGTGGGCTCTGGGGGATGTTTAAGGGCAGACGTGGGCTCAGGGGTATGTGTAAGGGCAGAGGTGGGCTCTGGGGCAGGTGTAAGGGCAGACGTGGGCTCACAGTGGGGTGTAAGAACAGACGTGGGCTCATGGTGGGGTTTAAAGGCAAACGTGGGCTAAGGGGGAGGTGTAAGGCCAGATGTGGGCTCAGGGGGAAGTGTAAGAGCAGATGTGGGCTCACGGGGATGTGTAAAAGCAGGAGTGCGCTCAGGGGGAGGTGTAAGGTCAGATGTGGGCTCAGGGGGAGGTGTAAGGGCAGACGTGGGCTCAGGTTGGGGTGTAAGGGCAGACGTGGACTCAGCGTGAGGTGTAAGGGCGGATGTGGGCTCAGTGTGGGGTGTAATGGCAGACCTGGGCTCAGGGGGAGGTGTAAGGGCAGATGTGGGCTCAGGGTGTGGTGTAAGGGCAGTCTTGGGCTCAGGGTGTGGTGTAAGGCAGATGTGGGCTCAGGGTGTGGTGTAAGGGCAGACGTGGGCTCAGGGTGTGGTGTAAGGCAGATGTGGGCTCAGGGGGATATGTAAGAGCAGACATGGGCTCAAGGGGAGGTGTAAGGGCAGACGTGGGCTCAGGGTGGGGTGTTAGAGCAGACGTGGGCTCAGGGGGATGTGTAAGAGCAGACGTGTGCTCAGGCAGAGGTATAAGTGCAGACCTAGGCTCAGCGGGAGGTGTAAGGGCAGACGTGGTCTCAGGCAGACGTATAAGGGCACACGTGGGCTCAGGGGGATGTGTAAGAGCAGACGTGGGCTCAGGGTGGGGTGTAACGTCAGACATAGGCTCAGGGCGAGGTGTAAGGGCAGACATAGGCTCACACGATGGTGTAAGGGCAGACATGGGCTCAGGCGGAGGTGTAAAAGCAAATCTGGGGTCAGGGTGGGGAGTAAGAGTGGACTCAGGGGCTCAGGCTGCACTGCCTTCTTTTAGGGTAGCCACTTACCCTCTCTGGGACCTGTTTGTTCACCTATAGAACAGGGGAAAACAAAGTGTAAAGAAAGAGTCAAAATTCAAATATCCAACAGTGGGACTTCCTTGGTGATCCAATGGTTACAAATCTTCCTTCCAATGCAGAGGACACTGGTTTGATCCCTGGTCAGGGAACTGATATCCCACATGCCACAGGCCAACTAAGTCCACATACTGCAACTACTGAGCTCACATTCTTGTAGCTCACATGCTACCACTGAGAGAGTCCCACACACTGAAATGATGTGCCTGAGTGCCATAACTAGTGCCCACCCAACACAGCCAAAAGAGGAAAACAAACAAATGCAAAAAAAATACACAAAAAACCAATATCCTATAGTGGACTCATATCTGAAATATATAAAATACATAAAGAGCCCCCAGAGGAAGAGACAGAGCACCCAACAGAAAAAGAAGAGGGGGGAAATCTTGAAAAGAAAAGATATCTGATAATAATAAATACGTGAAAGTATATTTAATTGGTCATCAAGAAAATCCAACTACAGTAAGCTATTAAAATGAAAAAAGATGGAAAATGCTAAGTATTGGTGAGATTATAAACTCTTCATCCACTGCTCGAATGAGTGGAAATGGTAAACCACTTTGGAGACATTTGGTAATATCTGCCAAAGCTGAATACATGCATACCTTTTCCTCCAACAATACGACTCAAGGGATTCTGTGAAATAGAAGATAAAACATTTGGAAGTGAAATGAAATGAAAAACTTGGAGTACTAAAATACCCGTTAAGAGTGTAACTGATCATCGAATTCAGTGCACACAGGAGAGTCCTGTAGAGCAAGGAACGTGAACACACTGCAACTACAGGCAGCACTGTGGATGAGTCTCACAAATACCATGTGAAGACAAGAAAGACTGACAACGGGAAGTAAATTCTACTGATGGAACATTCAGAATCTAATCTAGAGTACTGAAGGTGAAGATAGTGGTTTCTGTTGGGGGTTGGCAACAGGAAGGAGGTGTGAGTGGGCCCTCTGGGGTATTGGTCACATGTTGCCTCACTATGTGAAAATTCATCCAACTTATGAAAAGAGCATGGATATATGTGTGTTACACTTCAATAAAAACTTTAAAATATGCCTCAAGTGTAGATGCTGTAGATGTCCTCATGTGCAAGGGGCTTAGGAAGGGGGTGGCCTGGGGGACGTGGCCAAGGGACGGAGCCCAGGAAGATGCAGAGAGGAGGAAATGTGAAGCCCAGGGGCTCATCAAAGAGAGCAGAGAACCACAGCCCCTCCCCCAGAGAAACTGAGGCCCTGAGAACAGCAGGGAAACCAGAAAGGGCCTGACTCACTTGGCAGATGCACTTTCCCGTGGAGAAGTCCCCAGCACACAGCATGTCCACATGGACAGAGCAGTCTTGCCTTTTCCATCTCCGTATAACAGTTTACAGAACTTGTTCTCAATGAAGTTCACCTTCCCTCCTGGAGATGGAAAGGATTGAGCAGAAGTGCTGTGAGGATGAGGAGGAAATTAGGGAAGGATGCTGTAGCCAAGCCACAGAACTCTGCTACTGGTCAGCACTGCCCCTCAACATGGGGTTTTCTCCGCACAGCTGAGCTTTCATCCTTGTTTCAGTCTTCTACCTATGCCTGATAAGCCTTTCCTTGTTTCTCAAACTTTTCCAAACTCATCCTATTCCCTCCACCTCTGTCATAGCAACAGACCACACTCCTATTCCACAAAGGGAACAGGCAAATCCCTCCAACACCTGCCACTCACTGGTGCTTAGCAACCATTCACCAGCCTATCTACCCTTTCACTAACCTTCCCATCCACTCATCTTTTCTCTATTGCTAACCTTGCTTTCCATCCACCTGTTCCTCCATCCACCTACCTATCTTTCCTCATGTCCCATTCGCCCACTCACCCTTCCATCCATTTGCCTATACACTCATCTTTTCATCCATCTATTTTCCGCTCCATCCACAGACCCACTCACTCCCTCTCTTTGCTCACCATCCTTTCACCCATCTGCCCGACCGTCTTCCCTTCCACCCACTCATCCTCCCACTTTCCCCCATTCATCCTCTCATCCAGTCACTCATTTATTCATCATCCAATTTACTCATTTCTTCCTCTGTTCTCGTGTTAAGTATATTTTAACTAATGATACCAGGGAACATTTTTAGTTGGGGCAGACAGGGTAAATGAAGTAAATAAGTAGCATTACTTTAGATCTAATAAGTGGTATAGAGGAAATAAAACAGGGAGGTATGATATTAGGGGTGGCCTGTTTTAGCTCACATGATCTAGTAAAACTCCGCAGAAGAGTAGCCAAGCTGCATATGTCAAGAAACGAGTCACGACAAGGTTAGTCAATAGAGAAGACGAGTTCAAGGAGACAGCCAAAGAGCAGAACTGAGGGGCGAATGGCCTTGGCATCGTCAAGGCAGGAAGGAGGCTGCTGGCTGGGGTGGTGAGGGTGAGGGATGCAGCAGGAGACGATAGAGAGGAAACGGGCCTGAGAGCCAAGGCAGAGAGTTTCAACCTTATTTTACGAAGAAATGAGAAGCACTGGGGGTAATGAGCAGGGAACTGGTATGACTCATGCCCTGAAGCAAATGCTCAGACAGCTATGCGGAGAGTGACATACAGCACCCAGGGTGGGAGCCGAGACCAGTCTGCAGGTCTAGGGAGGAGGGGCCCCGGGGGCAGTGGTGGGATACCTACCAGGAGCCAGGCTTTGCCTGGGGCATGGACTGGGATATCAGGGTCCCTGTCCTCAAGGAGGAACCTGTCCATGTGTGTGTGTCTGTGTGTGTGTGAAGTGTGGTATACATGTGTTGTTTGTGTGTCTGTGTGTGTGTGTGAAGTGCGGCACATGTTTTCTGTGTGTGTGTGTGTGTGTGTGTGTGTGTGTGTGTGTGTGTGTGTGTGGTGAGACTGCAGCTGACCTGGTTGTTTGTCCTATGATTAGGTTGTGTTAGTGACATACTAATAGGCAAGGGCCGGAAGTGCCGGAACATCCCACCCAATGAAGATAACCTCTGTATAAAATGCTTGGAGCACCTCTGTAGAGAAACACGATATCATATTATGACCCAACTAATAATTACAAATAAATACTCTTTCCCTCCCTAATTTTGCATCATAAACATTTCACCAATCATAAACCATCCTTTCTTTAATAGAAACTCTTGCTCATAAGTTTTTGCCTACATCTCTCCACTTTCAAACTTTAAAGAACAGTTACTTTCCTGTATCATTCAGTCCATTTAATGAGCCTACAGAGTGGACGAGTGAACTGGGTTGGGAGAAGAGCAAAGCGAGGTTTGGAATTTATCAGGCAGGCTCAGAAGTCAGAGATCATGCTTGGATTTTCTTTCCACTTTTCCCAAGCACCTCCTATGGCACTGGGAAATCAGAGAGTTTGTCAGTGACCTGGAAGGAGTCAGGCCCCAACCATGACCTTTGAGTTGGATCAAGTCATCTCAGATCTATGGTTGATTTAAACCTTGGAATCAAGAACCAAAAAGACTTCAAGAACTCAGATTCTTGATTACAAAGGCAAAGATTCCCAGACTTCAGAGCTTTACACTTAGGGAACACCAAAGCTTTAGAATCACACACTTTCAGAACTAGAAGTAGAGTGGTCCAGTCCTCTGGAAATGAAGCATAGTGGGCCAAGGCGACCTTTGTCTGGAGACCCCTCAGATGGAGGCACACCTCCCTTCTTTGCTCCTGTCCTTCTCCCCTTCCTCCTCCTCCTCTCACCCCCCCAATTCCCCCACACCCTCTCACTTTCCTCGTTGAGCATCCCCCAGCTGGTTATCCAGCAGGATGAGTTACTGGGGAGCTTCATGCCAGGGACTGGGAGGCAGGCAGGGATGCTGTAGGAGGTGAAGTTCGCAGGAAAGAGCAGCTGCAACATGGCAATGTCACTCCTGAAGGGATGCAGCTTCTCGAAGTCTGGGTATGTGATAATCCAGCTCACAGACACCTCCCAGGTCTGAGGGCTGTGCTTGTCAGCTGGGTGCTTCCTAACAGAATTGGGTAACTCCCCAGGCCTTTGGGTTTCCTGGAAAAGGAAAGGCACCTTGTCACCATCATCTCCAAGTGGGGATGAGCTCTTTCCCTATATCCTAGTCTAACTGCCCACAGCTCTGTGGACCCCTCCACTCCTCGTGATGCCAGACAGCTTCTGTCCATCCATTTTGAATGTTCAGGAGACCTTCTTTATTGAGGCTAGTTGATTTCCTACTTATAGTTTGGAACATATGGCTGGCTTCTCCATCACACACTAGAATTGCAGAAGCACTGAATCCTTGTTCTGGAAAAGTCCTCGGTGGGGTCATCAAATGAAGACCTTTTGATTGTTCACAGCAGGCACTCTGGCTCACTCCCAGCTCTAACTTTACCCTTCCTGAGATGCCATACAACCCACCTTCTGGCCCAACACTCTTCCTCACCGTCCCCTTTTTCCAACACTTACCTGCTGAAAGCCTGCTTCTCAACTAAGTTACAAGGACTTGCAAAAGATTTGTTAAATAAATGAGCAAATGAAGGCAGGAAACAGAACTTTGCCTTGTTCCCCCAACACAGGTGCTGAATCTTCCCTCCACCCTCACTGTCTTCATGGCCCATCTACTTGGAGACCCTCTCTCATCTTCCCCTCATGAACCCTTCCCCTCCAGCAAGCCGTCCCTCTCCATATACCTTCTCCTGACCCCCAGCCCATGTGCTCTGCCCTCCTCGTCCATGCTGGGCTTTCTCTTCTGATGGGATGGAGACATGGTGAGGTGGGATTTGCCACCCCTGATGCCACAGAGGGGCTTGCACGGAGCATGGCTCAGAGTGGGTGCTGACAGACTCTGAGCCCTCAAAGCTCCAGCACGCAGACCTGGGCTGCTATGCCTGACTCCCTGGTGAGCCCCCTCCTCTGTTCAGAAGCCTGGCACCAAGCCAGGCCCACGTGGCTGGGTGACTGAGACTCCTGAGCAGCCCTGTTACTCTCCCAGCGAGCCCACCTCCCCCTTATGTGGCCTAGCACCACGGCTCCTCAAACACACGCCAGAGACCATGACTCCTCCTGGGCACACAGTTTAGCAGGAGTAATAAGAATTGCCCTGCTGCTGGTCACACATGTGGTCCCAGGCAAGAGAGTTCCAGAAAAACATCTGCTTTTGCTTTATTGACTATGCCAAAGCCTTGGACTGTGTGGATCACAATAAACTGTGGAAAATTCTGAAAGAGATGGGAATACCAGACCACCTGACCTGCCTCTTGAGAAACCTGTATGCAGGTCAGGAAGCAACAGTTAGAACTGGACATGGAACAACAGACTGGTTCCAAATAGGAAAAGGAGTACGTCAAGGCTGTATATTGTCACCCTGCTTATTTAACTTATATGCAGAGTACATCATGAGAAACGCTGGGCTGGAAGAAGCACAAGCTGGAATCAAGATTGCCGGGAGAAATATCAATAACCTCAGATATGCAGATGACACCACCCTTATGGCAGAAAGTGAAGAAGAACTAAAGAGCCTCTTGATGAAAGTGAAAGAGGAGAGTGAAAAAGTTGGCTTAAAGCTCAACATTCAGAAAACTAAAATCATGGCATCCAGTCACATCACTTCCTCACAAATAGATGGGGAAACAGTGGCCAACTTTATTTTTCTGGGCTCCAAAATCATTGCAGATGGTGACTGCAGCCATGAAAGTAAAAGACACTTACTCCTTGGAAGGAAAGTTATGACCAACCTAGACAGCATATTAAAAAGCAGAGACATTATTTTGCCAACAAAGTTCCATCTAGTCAAGGCTATGGTTTTTTCAGTGGTCATTTTTGGATGTGAGAGTTGGACTGTGAAGAAAGCTGAGCACCAAAGAATTGATGCTTTTGAACTGTGGTGTTGGAGAAGACTCTTGAGAGTCTCTTGGACTGCAAGGAGATCCAACCAGTCCATCCTAAAGGAGATCAGTCCTGGGTGTTCATTGGAAGGACTGATGTTGAAGCTGAAACTCCAATACTTTGGCCACCTCATGTGAAGAGCTGACTCATTGGAAAAGACCCTGATGCTGAGGGTGATTGGGGGCAGGAGGAGAAGGGGACGACAGAGGATGAGATGGCTAGATGGCATTGCTGACTCGATGGACTTGAGTTTGAGTAAACTCCGGGAGTTGCTGATTGACAGGAAGGCCTAGTGTGCTGTGATTCATGGGTTCGCCAAGAGTTGGACACGACTGAGTGACTGAACTGACTGATTTAAAGTGAGTGAGGTCACTTAGTTGTGTCCGACTCTTTGCGACCCCATGTACTGTAGGCTACCATGTTCCTGTTGTCCATGGGATTTTCCAGGCAAGCGTACTGGAGTGGCTTGCCATTTCCTTCTCCAGGGGATCTTCTTGACCCAGGGATAGAACCCGGGTCTCCCATGTTGTATGCAGACTCTTTACCATCTGAGCCACGAGGGAAGTCCTTTCAACAACAATACTTCAATATAATTTTTAAACCATGATGTTCACATACTACAAAGGACAATTCAATTATTTTCAGTAAATTTTTAAATTTTTCATTTATATTTAAATAAACCTTTTATTTTAGAATAGTTTTAGGTTTATGAAAAAGCTGCAAAGATAATACCAAGACTTCCAGTGTCCCCCCCCCGTTTCCCCTGATGTTAAGACCTTGTATTACTACAGTACATTTATCATAACTAGTGAGACAATACTGATACATTGATGTTAACCTTAGTCCATTTCTTTTTTTCAGTTTTTTAAGTTGGAGGTGCATATCATAGTGATTTGCCTTACATGCATCATGAAATTGTCATCACAATAAATTTAATGAAACCACATAGGTACAAAATTAAAGAAATTGGGGAAAAATGTGTTTCCTGGTGATTAGAACCCAGGATTTACTCTATCAGCTTTCATGTATAACATGCATGCATGCATGCATGCATGCATTCTAAGTTGCTTCAGTCGTGTCCGACTCTGTGCGACCCCACAGACGGCAGCCCACCAGGCTCCGCCATCCCTGGGATTCTCCAGGCAAGGACACTGGAGTGGGTTGCCATTTCCTTCTCCAATGCATGAAAGTGAAAAGTGAAAGTGAAGCCGCTCATTCATGTCCGACTCTTTGTGACCCCATGGACTGCAGCCTACCAGGCTCTTCCATCCATGGGATTTTCCAGGCAAGAATACTGGAGTAGGTTGCCATTGCCCTCTCCCATGTATGACATAGAACAGTATTAATTATATTTATCATGCTGTATATTACATTCCTAGTACTTATGTATCTTATAACTGGGAATTTAAATTCCTAGTACTTATTTATCTTATAACTGGGAATTTGTATCTTCGACTGTAGCTATCCAATTCCTGCTTCCCTATTCCTGGCCTTGTGTAACCACAATTTAATATCTCTCTTTCTATGAATTTGTTTTTAAAGTATAATTGACCTACAATGCTATGTTAGTTCCTGTTGCACAGCAGAGTGATTGGATATTTCTACACATTTCAAAATGATGTTAGTTATGATACATAACCATACAAAGACATTACATAGTTAGTGACTATATTCCCCAGACTGTACATTTCTTACCCATTGCATACTCGTTTATTTTGCAACTATATAAATACTATTTATCTATTTATTCTTTTTGACTGTGCTGGGTCTTTGTTGCTCCACAAGGGATTTGTCTAGTTGTGGAGAGCAGGGGGTACTCTTTGTTGTGGTGTGGCACTTCTCGTATGGTGGCTTCTCTTGTGGAGTACGTTTTCTATGGCATGGAGGCTTTAGCAATTGAGGCACATGGGCTTAGTTGCCCCACAGCATGTGTTGTCTTCCTGGACTAGGAATTGAACACGTGTCCCCTGCATTGGCAGGCGGATTCTTAATCACTGGATCACCACGGAACTCTTGCAGCTGGAACTTTGTACCTCAATCTCCTTCAGCTTTTGCTTTCTTCCCCCCAGTCCTCTCCCTTCTGGTAACCACCTGTTTGTTCTCTGTGTCTATAACTCTGTTTATATTTTGTTATGCTTGTTCATTTATTTTTTTTAGATTTCACATTTAAGTGTCATCATACAATGCTTGTCTTTGTCTGACTTATTTCACTTTAGCGTAATACTCTCTGGGCTTCCCAGGTGGCGCTAGTGCTAAAGAACTCGCCTTTCTATGCAGGAGTCTTAAGAAACAAAAGTTCAATCTCTGGGTTGGGAAGATTCTTTGGAGGAGGGCATGGCAACCCACTCCAGTATTCCTGCCTGGAGAATTCCATGGACAGAGGAGACTGGAGGGCTACAATCCACAGGTCACAAAGAGTTAAACACGACTGAAGCAACTTAGCACAGAACAGAGCACATAATGTTTTCTAAGTCCATGCATGTTGTCACAAATGGTAAGATTTCATTCTTTATCATATATGTGGTTTGCAATATTTTCTCCAAGGCTGTGGCTTGTCTTTTAACAGTGGCTTTTGAAGAGCTGAAGTTTTTAATTTAACGAAGTCTAATTTACTATTTTTTTTTTTTGTATAACTCCTGCTTTTGATATTATATCTAAGAGATCATGAAGATTTTCTCCTATGTTTTCTCTGAGAAATTTTAAAGGTTGTTTTTTACATTTGAAACCATGATCAAGTTTTAGTTCATTTTTGCCTAGCATGATAAGTTTCTGTTTCTTAGTTTTTGGTCTTTCTTGTGGATATCCATTTGTACCAGCACTTTGTTGTTGTTATTGTTGTTAAAAAATAAGATTAGTCTTTCTCATATGGAATTGCTTTAGGACATTTGTTGAAAATCAATTCATAATAAAAACTAAGGTTCTATTCCTGGACTCTCAATTCTGTGCCATTGAACTATATTCCTTTCCTGTGCCAGAAGTCCACTGTCTAGATTAGTTATGGTAAAATTTGAAATCAGGTAGTGAAATTTCTCCAGCTTTATTCTATTGCCAAATTGTTCAGGCTGTTTTACATCCTTCACATTTCCCTATGAATTTTAGGATCAACTGTCAAATTGTTCCCAAAAAGAACCTGCTAGAATTTTCACTGGGATTGCATTGAATTTATA